GGCAGAGGGACTATGGCCTCAGGAGAGTGAGGACTCTGCTCTGGGATGAGGGGAGGTAAGGGGGAAGGTCCAGGGGAGGAGGGTCTGGACCTGAGTGCCGTGCCGAGGTGAGGGGGAGCCAGTCATGCATGTTGGGATCATCGCCAAGGTTTCCTGGTTTCCTTCATAAAGGGCTACTTGGGTCACCATGCTGGGCATCTCGGTGCATGCAGGAGGTCAGCAGGGCGGGCCTTGATTTCTCTGTGTTACATGGAGGTGCACTTAACCTCTCATGTCTGCTACCCCATGGGCGGCCACAACCCCAGCTCAGAGCCCGTGATGGCTCTCTGCTTTTGTGATCACAGAACCAGTGCTGCGGTGCCTATGGCCCTGAAGACTGGGACCTCAACGTCTATTTCAATTGCAGCGGCGCCAGCTACAGCCGCGAGAAGTGTGGGGTGCCCTTCTCCTGCTGCGTGCCGGACCCTGCGGTGAGTCGGCCTGCCCGGGGCGTGTGGAGCGGTTCCTGACTCAGTCTGAGGAGAGTGCCCTGCGCTCTGTCCATGCGCCACTGCTCTGAAATCCTCTGTGTAAAAGTCCCAGGAGCGTTTTTGCATGGCCCACCTGGCTCTAGTCTTCTGAGTGAGGCAGGAGAAAACCAGTAGTGTCCCTCCCTCGAGGGGCTGTCACTCAGGGTGCCTAGACAAAATGCTACGAGCGTGGTGAGCCCTGGGCCGCGCTCCTCACTGTTCTCCGGAGAAAACTTTGCCCAGTGCACGGAAGCCCACGTGGGCGGTGGGCAGTACTCACCATCTGGGGCTGGTGGACAATTCTCTCCTTTTCTTTCTTCTTCACCTGTTTCCATTCCCTGTCCGTGGCCCTGGTCCCTGGGTTCCAGAAATGGGGGCTCCTGGGGGTGACCTGTGAAGGAGCACCGAATGTTTGCATGAACTGAGCTTGAGAAGAACTGGGTCTTTCACAGCTCTGGGTGCACTGGTACTGGGTGCGTGTGCCTGGTACTGGGCCCCGGGGCTCCCAAGCAGGCAGGGCATCCTCGAGACCACATGGCCGACGCCCCCAGCCCAGGAGAGGCTCCGGTGTGCTGAGGTTGCACGGCCAGCACCTGAGGTCTCCAGTGTGACGGTGAAATATCGAGCAAGTGGAACTCTTACCCCTTAGCGCAGGCATTGGCAAACCATGACCCGTGGTCTGGCCTGCTCTGTGTTTTCAGGTGATCTGTGAGCCAGGAATGGTTTCAGCCATTTTCAAATGGTTGAAAATCAATAAAAGCAGGATAATATTTTGTGGCAGGCGAAAGTTGTATGAAATTGAAGTTTCAGTGTCCATAATAAATGAAGTTTTATTGAAAGACGGCCATACGCATTCCTCTATATATCGTCAACATCTTCTTTCCTGCTACGAGAGCAGAGTTGTTGAGTAGTTGCTACGTAGGCGGGTCGGAAATAATGATCTAGCCCTTCACACGTAGTTTGGCAACCTTTGTCCTAGCATGAAAGGTTACTTGGCATCGGGATTGCAGGCCATGAGCTATGGTGGAATTTGTACAGGTGTTTGCTGATATTTGGTTGTGACTTTTCTAGAGCGTTCTACCACTGGCTTCTCAAGAAAACAAAAATGACCAGTGTTTTTCTGCTTTTCTTACAGCAAAAAGTTGTGAACACACAGTGCGGATATGATGTCAGGACCCAGGTGAGCGCCTATGCATACAACTTTGAGTTTGTCAGGTTTATCCCCTATGGTCCAACTTCCTGATTTAGCACAAGTGCAAATTGGAGTGAGGAATCTAGGGGAGGTGCCGTCTAAGCTGGGAACCAGCTGAAGAGCCTCCTTCGCTGATGGCAGGACTCACGGGAACGGTGATGGGCATGATGCCAAGCCCCAGCAACCGCGGTCACAAAATCTAGCAGCTGCTGCATGAGGGGAAAGAGATCAGATGGAAGTTTTGGGAACAAATGCTAACATTTGTTAATGGCTCCTTGGAGTCCCAGAAGGTGTCTGTCATATAGGAGTTCGAGCACATGGCTTGGCTTAACTGCCGTGTAGAGGCGGTGGTGATAATAAGGAGGGAGACGGGTCTCGGGGCGGGAGAAAGGCTCAGTCCTCCAGAGCCTTCTTCAGGCCACAGCGGGTGTGCACTTGGATGTGAAGAGAAGGGAGTCTCCCCTTTACCTCCCCCCAGACCTTGCTCAGTGGCCTTTGGTGATATGGATGACTGTTGTTCTGGAGGGTGGATCTTGGGGAGTCCATAGGCACCCCTCCTGTTGGCCTTGGACACTAGGGATGTGTCCCTCCAGGTTGGGAGGTCTGAAGCCCCTTCCACAGTGACCTCCATTGCATAGGGATGGGCCTGTTCCCCACATTGTCAGTTTCAATGCCGCTTGCAGGGGGTCCAGGGTTGTGATAATCAGGTACCACAGACGGTGCCTTGAACAATGGAGATTTGTCTTCTTGGAACTCTGGAGGTTAGAAGTCCAAGATCAAGGTGTGGAAAGGGTTGGTCAGAAGCCTCTCTCCTTCGCTTGTAGGTGGCTGTCTCCTGTGTGTGTCCCCACATGGTCTTCCCTCTGTGTCTTTTGGTGTCCTAATCTCTTTTTATAAGGACACCAGTCATATTGGATTATGGCCCACCCTGATAACTTCATTTCAATGTATTCCACCCCCCCCTGCTTTTTTTCATATGGTATTTGTCTTTCTCTGACATATTTTGCTTAGCATAATACTCTAGCTCCATCCACATTGTTACAAATGGCAAGATTTCATTCTTTTTTATGGCTGAGTAATATTCCAATTATGTGGATGTATAGATATACGTATCTGTCTTTTATACATAACTATTTACCTATGTTTTTCCTCAGATCTAGGATTAGGGTTCGGTTTCAGGCCAAAATAATGGTTAGGGTTGGGGTTAGGGACATTGTGAGGGTATGTGCAGTTCAGAGACCTCACCAGATGGTTAGTTTAGGGTTAGGGTTAAGGTAAGGGTTACGAATTATATTACCTCTTTAAACACCGTGTCTCCAAATGCAGTCACATTCTGAGGGCTTGAGGGTTAGGACTTCAATATCTGAATTTTAGGGGGCCACAGGTCAGCCCCTACCACCACTGAAATGAATGACTTTTCCATCAGCGTTGCTATGGGTGAGGCTGTATGTGGGTGGGTGGGGGTGAGGGTGTGCTGTGTGTGCTGTGGAGACATCCTGTGTGCCTACTGAGCCTCCACTAGGGGTCAGTATTGGAAGGCACCCCTTTGCTTATGACTGTTCCTGCTGGCTCTGGCTCGAGGAGCCAAGCTTCCCTGGGTGGGGGCCACACCCTGGGAAGCCACGGTCCCCTCCTTCTCTAGCCAACTCCTCTGACTCAGAAGATGCCGAACATCCTTCCAGTTTTCTCTTTAAAGGCGCGTCTTCCTTCTCGGAGCCTTCAGGCCCCTCCCCGCCCTTCTAGTGTGGGCTCTGGAGGGGTGCCAAACCAGTCTGTCTTTCAGTCTGGGGAGGCCCTGACAGGAGTGGGTGCAGGCCACCGCCAGGGAGTCTTCGGTTGGGCAGGGTAAAAAAATGCAAACTGCCGGAGGAGGGGGCAGAGACCGAGGCAGGCAGGTGCGTTTCTCCCGGAGAGTTCTGTTTGTCCTTGGCACCCGCCTTGCAGCACCTTGGCTCCCACCGAGCTTCGCCCTGCCCGCGACAGGAGCCCTCTGGGGAGCCGGGGTGGGGACGTCCGGCGTGTGTTGGGCTCAGGTCAGTGGTGTTTCCCTGCAGCTGAAGAGCAAGTGGGACGAGTCCATCTTCACAAAAGGGTGCATCCAGGCACTGGAGGGCTGGCTTCCACGCAATATTTACATCGTGGCCGGTGTCTTTATCGCCATCTCCCTGCTACAGGTGCGTTCTCCCTGCCCTTTGTGGCTTCCTTTGTCCTTGTGGGCTGTGCCTGTTCGTTTGAGCCAGATTTTAGGCCTGGAAAGACTTTGGTGGCCAGGCAGTGAGCAGGCAGGCTCGTGGCTGCCGGGAGAACGGGTGGGGGAAAGCCAAGAACTCAGCGCATCAGAGAAACCAGGAGTTCCCCGGGGTGCCCAGGGCTTGGGAAGAGACGCTGGCAGCTCCCAGGTGGCCTCTGGGGCGGCTGCTGCTCCTGTGTGGAAAGTGCATTGTTTAGAAAATGTTTGGCTCTGACATTGCCATGAAGAGGGTGACTGAAGTGGCGCCGGGGCCGCCAGCTGTCCACACACTCCTTCCTCCTTCATTCCGCGAGTGTGTGTTGAATGATCTCAAAGGGAAGCTTAGACACAGAAGCATCTAGAAGAGGAAAGAACAAATGTACTTGCAAAACAAGCAAAGAAGTCAGACTTCAGAAAGGCTGGCTCATCAAATCCAAACCATAATGAGAATTTAAAGGGGAAATAAAAAGCAACATTCTGAAGGTCTCTGAGTTCACATTCGTCTGTTCCTGGTAGAAAAACAGTCTTCCCGCCTGATTACGCCGGTCACCAAGGTCAGATATCAGCACAGCTAAAATCAGGGAGAACCTTGTTTTTATTATGAAATCCAGCTTTACAGGAAATGTCAAGATTTATTGTTTTGAATCAAATCCAGTCAGGTGGCTCTGTTATTTTAGGTTTAACTTTGGGTACAAAGTGTGTCCCAGCTTATGGGATGTGACGTGCATGTTCGTGTTGGAGGCAGGGTGAACTGTCCGTCTTGCTTCTGTGGTGCCTGCCGTTGACCCCTTCTAGGCCCTTGGGATATAGCAAAGTAGACCTCAGGGCTCCATTTTTACTGGTGGGCTGGTCTTGTTTTGCCACAGGCCCAATTGTTTGTCTCTCTGCCTCGTCCTGAGCGTCTGCAGAGTGGACGTGGGACTGATGTGCACGGCAGGGCCCGCCTTGCCCTCTGCACCTGCCCGCCCCCATCGGGCCCCACCGCTGACAGCCTCTGCCGGCTTTGCTTTCAGATATTTGGCATCTTCCTGGCGAAGACCTTGATCTCGGACATTGAGGCCGTGAAGGCAGGCCATCACTTCTGAGGGACAGAGGTGAGCAAGCAGAGCTGAGCCATGCCGTGGAGGCCAGAGCCCTTCCCCGTTGTCACCTCTGTGTCCAGAGGGAGGAAGTGGATGCACCCAGCCAGAGCCGGCGCCCTGTCTTCGGCATCAGCGTGACATGACCTCTCTGCTTCTGTTTGCTGGTGCTGAAGACTGAGGGGCCCCCCTCTAACCCGCACAAACTTGTGACTGAGACGCTCTCCCCCCGCCACCACTTGGGGTCTACCCAGAGACGGAGAACGTGTCTTTAAGCGGGGCTGGTGACTGAGGGACAGAAGGCCCCTGTGGCTGTGAAGGGGGCCTGACTCAGTTCTCCTGGAGACCGACTGTGTCTGCGGGGCCCCACTCATGTTATTGGTGCCGGCCCGGAGGGCAGTCATCTGCTGTGAGTGGGACGTGGGTGGGGGTGGGGGGGTGGACCAGAAGACACGGACAAGGCTTCTCCCAGCAGCAGAAGGGTGCTGCCTGTAATTGGGGAGGGGAAGGGACACAAGTGGACCGTGCCAGCGGAGCCTGTGGTGTCTGCACGACTCGGGGATGTTTGCAGGATCCTCAGCCACGTTCAAGTAAGCCTGAGCCATGTGTGGACCGGTGCCACGGAGGACCTCCTCTGCCGCCCCTTCCAGGGCAGGAACCGCCCCTCGTCTCAATAGCATTATGCCCAGATGGCACGGGGGCATGGGCAGGGTTCTCCTCTGAGAGTCGGCTCTTCTTTTCTTAAAGCGTGTAAATAGTTTATTTATAGGGATAAGAATGTTCTCACACCATTTCTTCGTTTCCTCTGGCATTCCCTCTAAGCAGCCTTACGCGGTGTCTGGGACTGAAGCCATCCCTTTCAGTTCCTTTGAGTGTCTCAAGACCCAACCCCATCAGCTTCTCCTTTTCATCCCTAATGACCCAGGTGCACATGCGCGCTCCCCCTTCCTCCGTGCACCCCCCCAGCACACACGTACCCGCGCCCCTCCCCTGCTTGGCCTCACTGTCTTCTGGTCTTGGTGCTACTGAAACTGTCATCCAGAACTTGAATCCTGACCTCCCCCCCTGCCCGCTGCGAGGCCGAGGAGCCCCAGCCTGAGAGAGCCGGCCCGGAACCTTTGACCAGGGCAGCTTTCGAGGCCACGTGGTCAGGGCCGCTGGCCGGCCTGGCATTTGCCTCCCCCTGGAGTGAATCTAGCCCGGCTCCTGCGTGGAGCTGCAGACCCCAGCCTGCAGCTGTGTAGAAGCTCGGG